CACACACACACACACACACACACACACACACACACACACACACGCTGAGGCACTCACACACAAAATAACTTTAGCAGACCCCCAGTCAGTCATCACAGGAGGGTGTGTTGCGAGTAGATAGGACTGCACCTGTTCTCCTGAACAATATGTGCCCCTCACACACTCTCACACAAACGCACAATGTTAGTCTCTTTATCTACTTTCTAATTCTGATGCTTTATACTACAATCTATAAAATACAATCTATAAACTATAATTTCACAAAAAACATTCATTAATAAGTATTTTATATGTCTCATGTGCTAAATCTCTACTAAAATGGTCTATACTACATTGTTCTTGTTAACCACTAAATGGCAACAGCCAGAAGCACTGAACAGAGTTACAACAGTTGTGTTTAACATTGGAAAGCAGCCATTTCGAGTGCACCCACCAGTGTATGTGATGTGTCAGCTGGCTATGACTGGAAATACACTTTAGGATTTAACCCTAACAATCATCGACCCCACCCCCACTATTATCCCTTTTAATTCAAACCCTCCTCTGCACCTCAACAGACCAAGCACTGCCTTCTGGGAAGCACAGGAAAATATTCACACACACACAGCAACTCAAACTGGTTTTGTACATGGGTGTGGGCACACTGCTTTTTTTCCAGATTGTGCTGTACAAACACACTCATGGATTTCGGACCTCGACGCTCTCTGCTGCTGTTTGTCAGAGCCCTCCTGATTTCTACAGCTGGTAGGGACGTGCGGCTACAAACAGGGTTTGCATGGCATGATTCAAATAAGAAAGTTGACTTGTACTAACAAATGAATGTGCTTAATATGCACAGATCCCTTCCTCTTTTTCCTGTCTTGCTCACATCATGAATGAGCAAGATACAGTACAAAGAAAAAGAAAAAAATCGTACTCTCTTAAAGCTTACTTTGAGATTACTTAGTGCATCTTTTTGTGAGAATAATCTAACGATGAAAGTGACCAATTCTCAACATGTTGCTAAGTCTTCCTGTCTGTTACGCAGCAGTTTGCAGACCACAATATGATGCAACTCATCAAGTTGCAATCAAAAGCACCTTGGTAAAAAATGGTGAGGACTGAGGGGATGTCTCATGCATTTCAGTCTCCACAGGAACACAGGAGGCACACTTTCTGCTGAGTCTCAACTGGCCAGTTGTGTGGTTTTATACCTCCTCTGAGTGTACGCAGCTAAAACTTCAGCACTGCTGACCTTCTCCAAAGGGAAGTTGCTGATGTGCAGTACATACTTTTTCCCTAAAATCTACTATGCGCTCTTTTAATTTTGTCACTGTGCAAGCAGGGTTCTTCACACCAGTTCATTGTCCCAACTCAACTTTGTTAGCCTGGTAAAAACCAGCCCCTTGTTCTACACTTTCCTTTGTACAGAGAATCTGGACTCTCGGCTGTTGAGAAACTATTGATTGCTGGAGGCATGGACTCTGTTGAAGCTTAAAACGATTGGATCTGAGTGATTTTACCCATTACTAACATTTGGCCGTCATGTATGTAGTGCGCCAGCTCAACCGTGAAAGAAGATATGCTAAGAAGCTAACTGGAAATTGCRTACACTGTAAACAACCATCTACTGGAAAGAGAGAAATACTGAGCCAAACGAGACAGTGCTGCAGGCTTTGTGAGACAAATTTAATTTAATTTGGAAGCCTTGTCAACACGGACTGATGGCTTCATTCACTTCCTACAGGCAGACTAAAACAGCTAAGAAAATCGATATCATCGTTCAAAACTCCTCCTGTTTGCTGACTGGCCCAGTTGAAATTCTACCAGAGAAATCTATGTCAATGGGAGAAAGCTCAGACGGAGCAGAGAAAAGAAATTAAAATCGAGTGGAACTGTGTAGGAAGACAATTGCCATGCTACAACTTTGTCAGATGTGTCATTATCATTGCTGTTGAGTTCCACCACTGTATCAACAACAACCCCCTCAAGCTGGTTTGGGCTGAATTCAGCAGTGCTGTCACGTGGCAGCAAAGTAAAGTGCACAGGACCGAGTACACATCCTGTAACTCCTGTATTGAGTTTGATGAAGCACGATGTCTTATTGCCTTTCTGTTGTGGCCTTCTGAGAATATTTTTGTCTGCAAAAGGGTCCAAAAAATGCATGAAGATGTGATCAAGTTGCTCAAATTATACTCAAGAACTGCAGACAACAGGATAAGACTCTGCATAATCATAAAAAAAACATTGAGTTTGTTCTTTTGGAAAGCTCCTGTGATGTCATGTACTTTTTGTTGTTCTTTCCTAAAGTAGATGCAGTCAACCTTGAAGGAGAGCTTTTCAAAGATTTGATGAATGGCTACAACAAAGATGTGCGGCCGATGAAGAAGAGTGGAAACATCACTCAGGTCTTCGTCAAGATGACACTCACCAACCTCATCTCTCTGGTGATCAATGCTCAGTCTGATGAATTTGTATTTTTTTCCCATTAATATCAGTTATTGCATAGGTTTTTAAGCTAATATGGTTTCCTGCCTTTATTATAGAATGAAAAAGAGGAGGCCCTGATGACCAGTGTTTGGATAGAAATGGTAAACTATACACACACATGTTCATCTGTGGGGTATTTTCATGAAAACAGTCAAAGGTGAAACCAACAGATTTCTTGTTTTCAGGAATGGTGTGACTACAGACTCAGGTGGGACCAACCGCCTCGATCAGCTTTATATGGGAACATAACATCTAAGCTACGGGTTCCCTCCAAAAAAATCTGGCTGCCTGATATTATATTAGAGAACAAGTGAGTATAATCAGCCTAGCGTCAATCATGCTATAAACAAATTGTGCTTCTTTTACAGGAGGATGTTTTATTTAAGCCACACAAAATGAGTTTAAATTAAATCGTGTATTTTTACACCAGGTTTTCTTACTGAAAATTCAATGGAAAATCAATCAATCTACAGCAGATATGAACAAACAGATTGGGACTATCTTAAATCTGCACATGAAATGTTAAACTTTATTTATACTGGAGTATCAATCTTCCATCTTTTGTTGTTGTTTTTCAGTGTGGATGGACAGTTTGAAATAGCATACTACTGTAATGCACTGGTGTCTCCTAACGGCTGTGTGTACTGGCTGCCTCCAGCCATCTACCGCAGTGCATGTCCCATCACGGTATACTACTTTCCCTTTGACTGGCAAAATTGCTCCATGGTTTTCCGGTAAGCAACTTTTTAATTATTATGGTTTCTTGTTTAGTAAAGGAAACATATCATTATTTTAAAATTTAAATGTTTTTAAATTCAGTTGGGGTCTATATATAGTGGAACTGAAACAAAATGTATTTAATGTCTAAATAAGTGCATTTTGCATGACATGTCCCTTTTAAAATATTTTTTCACACGTTTTTCTGAGGAAAATTGTCTACAGTCGGTGGTATGAACATCCACTAAGAAATATACATTCTGTTGTGAAATATGAGGTGTGCCAGGGTTTTGTTGAACTGAGGAATAATACCTTTGTTTTTTTACTTGCAAGCTGAAGGTGTAGGGCTGTAGCAATACATTGACGGGTGTGTAAATGACTCGATTTGTAAGGAGCTGGCAGATCTACAGTAGGCACCACGAGTGGAGCAGTCGAGTTAACAGGCAGTTGCTGGAGTGTACAATCAGAATAGTGAGAGAAGGTGTGAAACAAAAGCCAGGAAGCAAACTAAACAGAAAACACAAATGAAAAGGTGTCACTAATAAGCAGGAAATTACGCTGAGGAACTGATAAAGCTACTAAAATACAAAACATACAAACACATCATTAAGGATGTTCGTTTGCCTGGAAAGTCCAGTTCGTTTTGGGAGGTGCGAACACGTAATCGAACTCTGATTCGGACCAAAAAAGTGAACTCCGGTCTGCCTAAAAACCTAGGTCTCGGTCCGATTGAAATGAACTCTGGTGTGGTTCGATTGCATGTGTGAATGCCAAGAGGACCAGAGACTGCTCCAAAAGCAGGAAGCGGACTATACCGCATGACATTCTGAGTAATAACAGTAATAAATTTACTCATATGGTGTAAATACTTTGCTGGACAACTGTATAAGGTGGACTTCATGACTGTGGAGCTGGACGTGCTTCTACTCGGTTAACACGGAGCCGCCTCAGCCGCCTTGTGTGCAAAACAATAATCTCCGTGGTTCCGCCTCATCTTCTTCTCATGCTGAGCTCACCGTTGAAGACTATATTTTAGCACATTTGCCAAAAACAAAAAATAAACCCTACAACCACTAAAATGTAATGTTACTATTGTTTGTTAACATTTTGGGAAGAAGGAAGGTGCGCTCCATGTCTTCTGAGGTTTTCATGTTGATTCCTTTAGTGGTTCTTGGTGCAGCGCCCCCACAGGTGAAGGTGGGAACAGGTTGTTAACAGGATTTAGTTCGGTTGAGAAAGTGCAGTGTGAATTCAAACCGCACCAACAGAAAATGTAAACAAAGCTTGCAGTTTTGGTCCCCAATCGATCAAGTCTACCAGATTATCAGTGTGAATACGACCTATAAGAAAATTTGGAAGAGAACTAACAGTCCAGTTTCATATTTTTTTAGCTTAAAATGATTTTTCTTTGTCTAGATCAAAGTTCTTTTCATCATTCTGCCAAGTACAGACCACATGTCTGCTGTCTGTTTAGTTCCCAGACTTACAGTGCCAATGAGATCGAGCTGGTGCTCCAGAAAAATGACAATCACACACTGGAGTGGGTGGAGATCGATCCAGAGGCTTTTACAGGTACAGAAATATTTGAATAACAACCATAAGGTACAATAACAAATTCTTCTAAAGCAGTAGCATTCACAAGTCCTTGACTCTGGTGGTTTTAGAGAATGGAGAATGGGCCATCCGACACAGGCCAGCCAAGAAGGTGATCAACTCTCAGTACACTAAAGATGAACTGGAGTACCAGCAGATAGTTTTCTTCCTCATCATCCAACGGAAGCCTATTTTCTACATCATCAACATAATCGCTCCCTGTGTGCTTTTCTCTTCTCTCGGCCTGTTGGTTTACTTCTTACCTGCCAAAGGTTCAGATGTTTTCAATATAGTCAAGCCTCTGTTCCATCTATCATGTTGTCTCAGTTTGTATCCTCCCATTGGTGAATTTGACTGATTATTGGTTTGCATTTTACAGCCGGTGGTCAAAAATGCACCATGTCTATTGTCAACCTTCTGGGTCAGACTGTGTTTCTCTGCCTCATTGCTAAGAAAGTTCCAGAGACATCCAAAGCTGTGCCTCTCATAGAAAAGTATGTTTCTTTGGTTTAAATAGTTGTTTAAATTTGAGAGTTTCACTTGTACTGGTCTAAAACAGTCCTGTGTCTTTTATGAATTTCCGACTGAAGGTATCTGATGTTTGTGATGTCAGTGACCACCACGGTAGTGATGAACTGTGTGGTGGTCCTCAACGTATCTCTGAGAACCCCCAGCACACATGTAATGTCAGACAACGTCCGAAAGGTGAGAGAGTCTGGATCGTTTGTTTGGGAATATTTTGAAAGCTGTTGTCCGTGAGTGTATTTGTGTGAACAGTGATCCTGTTTCTCTCTACTCTTTTCTGTTCTTCCATTCATTTATTTAAACAAATAACTATTTAGACATACTTTGTGCTATTTTATTCATTCAAATGTAAATGTATTCATTTAATTCAGGGTATTCTGACTATGATTGTGGGGTTTTGTAACTTAAATACCTTTAGAATATTAAACTTTATTCTTAAAAAAATCATTGAAAAACATTGAGATTTGCAACTATTTGAAAAAGATTTTTCTGTTTGAAATTACTTTAGCCTACTGGCTCTATTTTTGTCAACTTATTTTTGGCTTTTAGATAGCTTTTAGCTACTTATTTTAGCATTTTGTTACAATTAGCTTTCATGTAACCTTTTGCTATTTTTTATTTTTTTTAGTTTCGAGCAAATGCTTTGCTACATTTTGTCAGCAGTTTGTTACTTTTAGCTTTTAGGTAGCATTTTGCTATTTCTAATAAGCAGCTTATTACTTTTAGTTTTAGTTGTAAGCTAACCTTTAGCAAGCAATTTTCTCCATTTAGCTTGTAGCTAGTGTTCTTCTTCCTTTAACAACTGAATTTTTTTTACTGATTTTCTTCAGATATTCAACACTCAGCATTACTGCTGCATTTTCACATGAAATGCAGTTTGTCTAGTTGCTTTCAGGTTTCTCTCTAATCCCATCTCACCCTCAGATCTTCCTCAACGTTTTGCCCCAGCTGCTGAGGATGGGGATGAAACGCTGGACACCGTACAGTGACAAAAGGTCTTTCATTGGGAATGATGAACTCGTGTCTCCAGACGGAGTGCCCTGCAGGCGCCGCAGCTCAGTGGCTCTTATCACCAAAGCAGAAGAATATTCAGTGAAAGTGGCTCGATCCGAGCTCTTGTTTGACAGGCTCAAAGAGAGAAACGGGTTGATGAAATCCGTGTTGGAAAAGCTGCGTAAGTATTTCAAAGCACTTGCACGTCATTGAAAGGGAGTTTCTCATGACAAACATATTGTGAATACCTGATTTGTTTCGCACTCAGATGATGGACTGAGGGAGGGTACAACTGAGCGGCTTAGTTTCAGTCTGGCTCAGGCCTCTGCAGGTCTGAAACAATGTGTGGCCTCCTGCAAACACATTGCTGAGACTAGAAGACAACAGAGCAACTTCCAAAGTGTAAGCTGTTATAAAAAATGTTCAACTTCATTGCTTAATAATTCAATGTGGATATTTTATTTAACAAAACCATCCTTAGATATGATGTCTGCACAATGGATTAGTGCAGAAAATCCCTGGTTTGGATCTAGGGGGTCTTTCTGTGAGGAGTTGTATTGGTTTTCTTTGGTTTTCTCTCACAGGCCAAAAACATGCACGAATGCCTTGAAGCCCAGACCTCTCTTCAAAAAGAGATCTGTGAGCCTCAATTGGGTTTGCCTGATCGAATATATTTTCTGTTCTGAAAGATTTTTTTCAATAGGCTTGCAACAGTTCAGTGTTTTGGGTCATAGTAGTGTGGTGACTGCCAAAAGTTAAAAATTATTAATTTTATAGTGAAAAATGATAAAAGCAGAAGTTTTGGTCAAATTTGTTAGTTTTGTAAATGTTTGAGCTTGTTTTATCTGTTAAATGTTTAGTTCTCCTACTCAAACGTTGGATTTACAGCCATTTTTGAGTTGGTTATGGTCTGTTAGATGTGGTGGCCATTTTTATTTGAAATTTCTCTACAAGTTAATCCGTGGTAGATGTCTCTTCAAAGATGGTTTTTGCTTTATTAAAAATTTCCCTTTGGTTCATAAGGTATTTTGCTTACAACCAGCATGGGCTCCAGCAGTTAATACTAAAGTTTTAGCAAGGAGCTATCTGCCAGCTTGTCTGTTGTTCTCAAGAAATTTATCCGTTTATCACTGATTTTTAACGCATCACACATACTGTTTTATTTTGAGGTTAACTATGATGTATGATAGATTATTTATTATGTGTAATTATTTACTTTTATGATTAAACTGTGATTTAGTGATGTGCAATTAGCTTTGAGTGGCTTGTGTCAGGGTCAGTTCAAACAGAATGTACTCTCCTTGATACATTAGTTACATGCCTTAATCACTCACAACACAACTTTTGTTCCCACTAGCGATCAGAACCGTTGTTGTCCAGTTCTTCTGTAAGGAGTTCTGCCCTGGATCTGATGTATTGCTGAAAAAGGGGCTGGGCTCAAGAAGAAAGTGTTACAATGTGCTTACTTCCTGAATTCGGGGCCAAATGCTGAGACAATAAACGTCTCCGGTCATTGGTTTGGCTTCAGTTCTTACAATTAACATTTAATGCTGGATTCTGTATTTGTTTCCTTGTTCTCAACACGCATCAGTGTGACTGAACATAATTTAATTTTCAGTTTCATCTCACCATTTACTTTAGTGAAGTGTCATAATCTATCATTTGACAATCCTAGGAAAATGAAGAATGGTTCCTGGTTGCCCGAGTGATCGACAGGGTCTGCTTCATTGTTATGGCATTAGTGTTCTTCATTGGCACCATTGGTATCTTTCTGATGGGACATTTCAACCAGCCGCCTTCCTTGCCTTTCCCTGGGGATCCGTATCAATATCTCCCGCCGTCAGAGAACAACACCGTTGTAGATGAGAGAAGAGGAGGAGCGGACTTTCTGGGGTGAGCCAGGAGGAAACTGTTCTGATTTTTGAAACTAAACGGAGAATCTGACAGGACGTGTCAGAGGTCTGTCTGCGATGTCCRAGGAGGCTTATGGAGACAGTTTCCTGTGGCTGGAAGTTGTGGATCTTTAAAGTATCACATTATCCACAGTACATGTTTATGGTGATAAAGGATCAACTGTATAACTGTGGTTGCAAATTGATAGCAGCTTGTAATGACTGTCACATACCCAAGTGCTGTATAATAAGAATAATAGGTCTTATTGTCTCAGTGTTTATTTATTGACAAAATGTAAAAAAAAAGATCATCTTAAGACAGCATGTTCCTTTACAGCTAATTAAAATTATTCATTTATCATGAAAAGTGATTTAGTTAAACTGTATATCTGTGTGCCTTTAGTTTGTAATATATTAAATAAAAATGTGTTTGTTGTTTCTTTTACAATGTAGTGGTTACCTCGAGTGAAATAAACAAGAAAACTGGCTTTGACCCCAGGCCTCAGATGGGCCCTTTAAAGATACAGGACTCTGTTCTGGTTKAACCTGAATTTGGGTCACAACAGGTCATCTTAAACCGTCAAAGAGACATTCTCTTTTCTTAATCAGATAATAAACAGAATAATCTTCTTTTTATGTGATTTATTTTTCTCTTAACTAAGAGTTATTACGCATTTTGATAATCAGAGACTGTTCATCAAGTTACAGGAGAAAAGAGAACAGATCTTTTTCTTCCTCAATGTAATTCAATTGTACTATGGATTTTTCTGTGGAAATGTCTTGTTTAACTAAACTAATCATTATGGTTTAAGTTTTGATATAACACCCGTGTTTTATTTGTCTGAATCGTCATGCAAATGTTTTTGAGTTTGTAAAAATTCATTAATTTTAAAGAGTTTCTCATCAGAGAATATCTGAATAGGTCATCATGATATGTTTTGTTTATGCAGACTGTGCAGAATCAATAATCTTTGTTAGCTCCAGATAGCGACCGGCCGTCTGAACTAACATTTTCCCTATCTTCCTGTTTTACTAACTTATCGACTGAGGGTGGAACAAAAAACCTCTTTTTAGAGACTAACACGTTTCCACCTGGGAGTCAGAAGGAGACGGACACACTTGATCAGCTGTTTCTCTCCGTAGAATCTGGATTGTTGTTGTTTCTTAACTTCTTATAGGAAAGTAATTGTCACCAATAAGTATACTGTAGTGATTTTGTTTGATTGTGTAAATAAATGATCRCATTTATTGATGGATCAACCCAAGATTCACTCAGCTGCGTCACTTACTGTGTTTTGTCCATTCACTTTTGCACGGAAGAGATATTTACTGAAAATAAGAGATCCTTGCTAAATAATTTCCTTATAACTTTTCTTATAAGGGGGTTTAAGTTCATTACAACAAAGATGTGTTAAAATAGGGGGACAGATTGTTGGTACCCTAAAAGTGACTATTAAGCCTTACATTAAAGCCATGTTTTAGTGGGGGTTTTTTTTTGGTATCACAGATGACTTACAGCCTTTCATCAACCATTCATCTTGTTTAAGAGGAATAGCCACTGGGTAGTTTGGTATCATTGTGTGCACTACACTGATAGATCACAGGAAGCAAAGACAAGAGCTGTCTGAAGATATCAGAMATAGGATAAAATATATTTGTGTTAAAGATAAAGGCTATAAGACTTTCTCCTAAGACCACTGCTGCCATTTTTAATAACAAAGTATAAAGTTCATGGAACTGGAGCCAACCTCCTAAGGCAATGGTTCCCAAAGTTGGAGTCAGGACACACATTGGGATCCGGAAACATCGAGGTGAGTCTTTAAAAGATTTTCTAATTTATTTACCTTTAAAAATGTCTACGAACAATAATTTTTGTCATAGTTGTTACAAAAGGTTGGTGTATTTAAATTTATTAAAAATAACGTAATGAACATTGTTACTGCACTCTTGTTTATGTGACCTGATACAATGTTTATCACCCAACAAGTTGGGGGCACAGGTCTCTGCTACTCGTATTATGTGGGTGAAAAGTTTGGGAACCACAGGGTAAAGCTATGGTAACGTTTTCTTTTAACCATCTGATGTTTGGTGTCTACTGAAGCTGGGATACCTCTTCCAGCCTCCAACTGAAACACAATCGCACCGCTCTGTGCTGCCCCCCCATCCACCCCCCCCCACCTCTGGAAGCAGGATTTCGATTACATGGCTGAGTGGCGCCTTTCTAACACAACAAAAGCCAGATCCAGCTGGTTGAGATGGAAACAGAGTCGGGGTTGAAGCAGAGAAAGGTGATGTGAGACATGCACACGCACAAAGCAAATGTGAGTAATCGCAAACAAGTGGTAAGGAGGCTGGTGTTTAAACCCCTCAGGATCTCCAGATCTTCAGAGGCCGAACGCTTTTGGTAAGAACCAAGAAAAGTACTTTTTTAAATTGTGTTTCTACTTTTTATGTTCAAATTTATGACAGTCAGAATGTTTAGTTTCTGTTGGGAATCCTTTGGGTGCAATTTTGGCATTTTAAGCAGCAGTTTAATATGAAGTTTTCAGCCAAGTTGTTCCAAATGTCTGCTGTGTGACATGAATGACAAAGAGGCGCAGGCTGGCTGTGAAGAGGTGATGTTTATATTGCTCCCAGGGAACTGAATCAAGTGTCCTCTAAGAGCTGCAGAAGAGGGACTCCCGTCTTCTAACGCACCGCAGTTTACAGTCACAACTTCAACAATTTACTTGTGTTTAAGGTAAGGCCTTTTTCTGCTAAAGATTAGTCATAGTGTGTTCTTTAAACTCTTACAGTACAGGTTTCTACTTTGGAAATGTAAACAATCGGCAATATTTAGTAGTTCAACCATTAAAATCTTAAAATTTCTCTTCAAAAATGTATTCTCATCTATTTTAAAAAAATTATATTTCTTGCATCTTGTGTACAAACAGAACTGAGCAACCGTCTGTGCAGCACCATGTCAGCGGTGACCAATCAGCCAGTTCCTGTTGGTCAACTTGAGCGAGAGAAGCACATCCAGATGATCTTCAGAGCCTTCAAGAACAGATGTGAGCCTTCCTGCGAGTGCCAGACTCAGGCACCTGGAGCCAAACCCCACAGAGAGCTTCCTGACTGGGAGTCTGAAGACCAGCTGTCAGACCCGACGCCGCAGAGAGGGCYGGAGGATTTGCGTGTTCAGACGTCGGGAGCACTGAGAAGGCTGGAGGTGGAGGAGCAGAAACCTGAAGGCGCAGGAGGCTTGGACTTTATGTCTGTGCTGGAAAGACTCAGTCAGATTCATATCACTGCCAGACCAGAGCTGCAAGGTCAGCATGAGCATAGCAGCGCAAGATGTGTGGACTTGTAWTGTGTGTATTTGTCTGGTTAAAGAGAATGTCATTGCAGGTCCACAGTGTGTGTCCAGGAGGATCTACAGCATCACAACAGGAGGCAGAAAATCACAGCTGTTTGTGGCTGTGGAAGGTACTTGTGAGCATGTAGAGCAGGGGTGTCAAACTCATTTTCACTAAGTTTGAGGGCCACACGAGCATTATGCTTGTCCTCAAATGGCCAGTTGTAATTAACTTTGACTAAACACGTTCATCGTCTCATTGCTAAAGCTGAGCACCGCGAACAATAACTGAGCTCTAAGTGGTATTTCCTGTGTAGAAACAGCACCTTAACTTGTCCTCTTATAGACCCTGAGATGTATTACATGTACGACTGACTAAATGTGAGCCATCACATCAAAACCAGGATAAGTCCAAAAGTGGAATGTGGAGAAATAGGCAGATATRGRGTTTTGATTTAAAGGTGTGTAAAAAATGCATTTTGTCAAAACATAATGAATAAATGCCTTATCAATGTATCATTTGAATGAACTGTCTGTAATCTTAAAATAAGAAATTTAATTTTTTTGACCAGTAGCAAAAAAAACAACAACTTGATTTTGAGGAAAAACACCTTAAAATTTTGAATTTTTCCCTGTCAGCTTGCAATGTTTTTGTCTCTTTCCAAATGGGAAATATTATTATACAAATACTATTGGAGGTTTCCTCTTTATAGTGACATAAAAATTACTCAATAAATGTACATAATATTAGGATTCAGACCCAATATTCATGTATTAACATAACCAACAACACACATTAAATCATATCTCTGGATAAGCTAATGATATTGCAATGATCCAGGTATCAAAATGAAGTTTTTAAAGCCAGGAATCTGAAAATGTAGTTAGATCATTTAGACCAAATTTGACTTAATTGTAATTTTGATATGATGGGTCACAAATGTGAAATAAATGACACAGAAATACTATTAAAAGTAAAAGTAAGGGAGTTTTACTCACTGATGTTGAGTTGTGGTGAGTAGCAGCCATCTTGACTTTTGAACTCTCCAACTTTCTGRCAGGGAATTCCCACTGAACGGGCATTACAGTTTAAATTTATGAGCAGTACAACTGGGCTGCAACTAAAAATAAATAAAGGGAAAAGGAGGTTGTTTTTTTTTTTTTTTACTGTGAATTACACTGGCTAATGTGTACTGGCTAATTTTGAACTCTGTGCACCTCCACCTAGTGGTGGGATGTTGTCATTTTGCAGGTGAAATAATCAACATGCTTTTTGGGAGAAGTAGTTTATGGTCAATGCTGATTTTTAAGCTGCATGTGCTTATTTTCAGACAATAAATCTTGGAAGCTCTCGCAGGCCACATAAAATGCTATYGAGGTCCACATTTGGCCTGCGGGCCTAGAGTTTGACACGTGAAATAGAACACAACAAATACGAGAAGTTATTTTAGTGTTTGTCGGTTTTTGCTTCTCTTTCCAACAGAGAGCTCCTGCGTGTGCCTCCAGTGTTGCGGTCCAGCTCGGGCCTGTTCCCTGCAGGGCTTTGACTGTCAGGGCCGTCAGGTTTTTCACTTCCAAAAGCCCTTTAGGGTTGACACCTGCTGCCTCGGGTGCTGCCTGATGGAGATGAGAGCATATTCACCTCAAAATCATCTCATCGGCACTGTACATCAGAGGTACGACAATCTGGATTATATTGTTGTTCCAGTCTTGATACCTCAATCATCTTATTATTTCGCCTATTTATTACTGTATGTATTCATACATTTTCTGAACCCACCAAACAAGCTGAATAAGCTATTGTTTTTTAACACTGTAATTTTAGGTGTTCATTTGTGTACAGCCAAACCATTTAAATGTCTTTATTTAATTCAATGCATTTCTTTAACACAAGTATTTTCTTTCCGTTTTGTAAATTAACTTACCTATTTGTTGACATTTGCCAATTTAGAAAAACACTAAAAATGTGAGCTGCATATAAAAAAGTCTTAAGGGCTCAATGATGAAAAATAAACTGACACATAAAAAAGGAAAGAAGATTAAATTTTCAATAACTTAGTTTTTAGGAGGATTTGCTCATTTTAACTAAACTAAACTGCATAATACAAGGATTTTCATGAGAAAAGGATTTCAATATTAAAGCAGCTGTCTGCTGTCATCACCCATTGACATAAATTAAAAAAAATAGGAGGCAGTGAACTTTTACGGTTAAAACTTTTCAAAAAATTACAAATCTTCCTCTTAGTTTGTGAATAATTGCTTTAAAAATAGTTTAATGATAAATATGCTTAAACTGTTCTGCTGATGAAAAAACAAAATTAATATAAAGATAATAAATGTTAATATTCATAAGTCATTTTCAGTGTATTTCATCTGATACATAGTGTTTAAATAGTTTGGAAAAGTTGTTTTATTTCATCATCAGCACCTCTYTGAAAACTGGGGTTTGTTCTGAAAATATACAGTAAAACAATATTTAACTTTATCAGACTGAACTACGAGACTTTTTTTTCTCCATGTTACTCCCTTGCCTCTGCTCACCCTCAACTGAAATAAATTCTAAAACCTTTCTGTAAATAGCAGCGAGGGTCTTTAATGTTCCAGGCAGCCTGGGGGTGCAGTCTGAACCTGAACGAGTTCATGGATAAAACAGCTGTCTGCCTGGAAACCCACCGACAGAGATGCTTCGGTCATCTCAAGGAAGGAATGTGGAGTCCTTATTGGTAATGTTGACTCACGGGAGTGGCAACAGTTGAGCAAAGCGAAGTACTTCTTTCTTCATGTGGTCTAAAYCTGACTCCAGGGTCAAGCTTGTGGCGCTGATCAGAACTCAAACTCATTGAAGTTGTGACTGATTAGAGCTGAGGTTTCAGTGACCAGAGACTGACTTGTTATAAATATTCACTCTGTTGTGCTCGAATGAAGCACGCCCTGATTTGGATCTTCGCTCACACGGAGCAAAAGATGCTTTTTGGTGCTGCAGAGCCATGACAGCTGGGCATCAGTGTGAAAGTCCTAGACCGGGTTATCTAACTGGTTGACTTGTGTTTGTCAGGTGGAGCATGTTCACTCCTCTTCTTGAGGTTTGTGATTCAGAAGGAGCCTCCAAAGTCAGGATCCAGGGCTCCTGCTGCCCCTGTCGCTGCTCCTCCAACCAGCAGTTCCAGGTATTTTAATAAACAGGACTTGCAGCAGATAGCAGCGTTGTTTGATATCGGCTTTAAAATCGATTCAACAGGTTGTCTCCAACCTTGGTGAGCAACTTGGAACAATATGGAAAAAGTGGCCCGGCTTCAACGTTGAACAGAATATGGATCATGAATATTTTGGGATGGACGGTGAGTTCTAGTTTAAGAAACGTTAAAATAGAAAAATAATTTCTTAAAAGTGCTTCATTTGTATTTTGAATTTTAATGCTTCAGACTCATACAGTAAAACTTTTCCATTATTCTGACAGGAACTTCGATAGAAGTTTTGACATTTTGGATTCAATTTTTTAAAATTGATTTGGATTCCTTTGGATGTTACACAATATTTTTAATACATTTCTAGTTGTAACATAGAGTTAAAAGAATGACATGGTTGAGTTGTGATTTATATGATGATTGTTTAGTTTGTTTGATGTTTGACACATTCATTCATCGCTTCAGATTAAAGCATCAGACAACACTGTGTGGCGCCAATGGAAACTAGTTTGCGTTTGGGCTGCTTCATAGCTTTTAACGTGAACATAGCGCTTGCATTTTTTTAAAAATAATTCAGCGAGTAAAACTTTACAATATCTTAGTTAGCTGTCAGATGATGCAATCTGCTGCATGTTAAGGTAATAAAGTTAGCTGCTATGCTAGCAGCAGCATCGATAAAAAGTCCCGGTGCTTGAGTCGCTGCAAACAAAACCTTCGGGTCACTCTTACCCCTGAACTCCTTCCTTCGTCTTGTAAAAATCACTTGTCGTGACTTGGCCTGAACTGTTTACGACATCACAGACATGTGATCGTCCGAAATTATAACGTGTAATATTTAATAAATTATAGCAGCACAAACAGCCGTTTCAACGGCACAAATCTGCTCAAACAAAGCACTACAAAATTCGACTAGTTTGGTTCATTTTTGGTTCGTTTTGAAGTGATGTGACCCCTGAATGACCCTTACAAATAATCTTTAATATATAAAAAAAACATAGCAGCACAAACGACAATTTCAAGTGCACAAACCCACACAAACGAAGCACTAACCACTCATCCAGTTTGCATTTTATTTTTCTGTGGTTCATTTTTTGGGAGGGTCAGCTTCACTCAGCTATTGTAGTAAATAAAGGTCACTTAATGGCTTCATTCTCCTYGACATCTATTGTTGTCTGCTCCCTTTGGTCTCCAACTTGAACATTTCTCCGTCACCAGCTCAGCCCAGATTAAATCATGTAACATAAAAAGGTACACAGAAAGATTGATGTGGGTATGTGTTCAAAACGTGTTATTTTTAGGTCTTTTCGTGTCATTATCTTGTTCCAACAGATTATTTACAAGTGATTTATTGCATGAATCCTCAAGAAAGACAACGCTGCCTATACTGCATAATTTAGGTTTTGTGATTTAGTTAACGCCTAAATTGACCTTTTTTATGGGGGTGAATGAGGGTTTTACTTGTTTAGAAGAAAATGGATTAGAGGGGAACTTATCATGTTAAAGTCTTTGTTAAGTGGCCATATGGGCGCTAACTCAATGCAAAATTTTCAGCTTTTGTGTTACGGCAGCTTACGATGTAGAGTGCACAGATGTTACTGCAATTACAGGGTCTGTCTGTGTCAGTCCTCTTGCCTTTTTAGTCCAGTTCAGGTGGTGACATTTKTTAGGCGACTCTCAACCCCACACTACTCAACACTTGCTCCCCGGAGAGGATGAGATTAAAAGAAAAAAGGTCAAAACACAGTATTTATGGAAAAAAAACAATACTTTTATTTTTCATAACAAAATGAATTTAAAAGTGTAAAAAAAGAGCTCACACTTTTTTATTACAGTTTGAATGGCATCAATAAATAACAGTTTGAACACAATCACACAACTTTAGAGCAAACACATGCTAAGCACAGGGTTTCCAAACAGCACCCATGAAAACAGCAAAGAACAAGTAACTGAGCTCCTCTGGTGTGACGTAACAAAGTGTAAAAACTGAAAATGAGGCACAGCCTGAGGACACAATTATTTTTGAGCAAAACAGAAAATTGTGGAAAACCAATTATAAATAAAAAACTGTTTTCAAGCATACAAATGCAAATAAGTATTAAACAAACTCTTTGTTTTTACATATGTACAAAATGTAGTAAGATGCTTAAAAGTTAGCTTTTTTTCCCTCTCCTGAGAAGACAAAGTCTCTGAAATAAAAAAAGGAGTTAACTTGACAGAACGCTTGAAGACTCTGTCTCTGTGGACACGGATGAAATTTGACCCCGCTTTTTGGTCATGAGAGTCACTTTCTGGCTCGATTTGCTGCTGTTGAGGGTCAGTGTACTCCTGGCCGTTTTCTTAAACTTCACCCCCAGGAACGCATACAGGATGGGGTTCAAGCAGCAGTGAAAGTAAGCCAGCGCCTCCGTGACAGAAAGYCACTTGGCCACGGCCTGTTGCAGCCCACATGTGATGGGGACCGCGTTCAGCATCATGAGGGTGTCCAAGAAGATGCCGGCGCAGTAGGGCAACCAGCAGCTGAAGAAACAGACGATAAGGATGACCGTGGTCTTCAGCGCTCTCCTCTTCAGCGCCTGGCCCTTGGCGCCTCGGGACAGCTTGGAGATGATGATGCAGTAGCAGATGAGGATGACCAGGCTGGGCAGGATGAAGCCCACCAGGATGTGCTGGAAACGGAAAACAACTGTCCACACAAGTCTTTTTTCCTCTGGGTAGATGCGCGTGCAGATGGGTCTGAAGTCAGCTGTCCCCGTGATGGGGGATTTTGAGCTCTCGTTCTGCACCTGAACGAACAAAAAGTCAGGTAATTAGGATGGCAGCAGGCAGCCACACGCTCACATACACCACTCTGTTCGCCAGCAGCTTCCTCGTGGCTTGGCTGTCGGTGGCGTGAACCATCGCCAAGTATCTGTCCAAGCTGATGAAGACCAGGATCAAGACGGTGCTGTACTGGTTGATCGTGTAGATCATGTGCACGGACACACAGAGGAAGTGTCCAAAGTACCGGGATTTAGCCGCATCCACAGCCCAGAAGGGCAGCATGAGGACAAACAGGAGGTCAGCAACCGAGAGATGGAGCCTGTATTTGTCTGTCATCGTTTTGACCTTTTGGTAGCCCATGACCAGAACAACCAATCCATTGCCAACTATTCCCAGAATGAAGATTAATCCATAAACTGTGGGGTGGGAGATTTTGTTGAAGTCGCTGTTGGTCATTCCACCATATCCCCTCTGAAAATCATTCAGGTCGGAGTCTCCGGACTCCTCTGAGATGTTGTCGGTGCTGTTTTCAAGGAATAAGAGTGTGTCGTATGGAAAGTCGCACTGGAAGCAAAA